GCTTTTCTGTGTAGCCCTGGCTGTCCTGGAACTCACTTTGTAGACCAGGCTGGCCTCAAACTCACAGAGATCCTCCCGCCTCTGCCTCCCGATTGCTGGGATTAAAGGTGTGCGCCACCACTCTACTGTGGCTGTTTTAACACTGAGACACAGTGCTCCTTAAGTGTGACAAGGTCCAGAGAAAGTTGACAAGTGTCCCTCTGGGGGAGGCTGAGGTCTTCCTCCCCACCATCCTTGAGGGGAAGTTTCTTCTGCTGTGAGAAAACCTCACGGCCGAAAGCAACTTGGGGATGAAAGGATTTATTTCATCTTATAGCCTGTAGTGCTGATGCATACAATATACATATTCATATGGAGAAGTCAGGACAGGGATGCAAGGCAGGAGCTGCTGCGGAGGCCATGGGAGAATGCTCTATTGCTTACTGGCTTGCTCCCCATGGCCTAGGCAGAACCTGCTTTCTCACACACCCTAGGACCACCTGCCCAGGGGTGGCACCACCCACAGTGAGCAGGGCCCTCCCACTTCAATCATTAATAAAGATAATACCCCCCGACTTGCCTGCAGACCAATCTTAAGGCATTTTTCTATTAAGATTCTTTCTTCCCAGGTTTATTTCAAGTTGACCAAAGCCAACCAGCAGACACTTCTGTTCCCAAAGCTGGCGCTTGACCAGGTTAAAAATGCTAAGCAGACCCCAGTTACGCCAACTGGGAAGTGCCCGGGTGGGATAAATCGTGCCTGTGCAATGTCCTTGGGAACTAAAGACCAAGATAATGGTCACAGTTGGCCAGGGCTGGTTCTCACCAACTGTTCCCTGCCCGTGGGTGAAGACCTAGATTCCTTGGGGGTCAGGTTCAGCAGCTGGCAAACCCAGGCCTGCTTGTAGATTCCCTGGGACCTGGTTGGGTTGTGATAGTACTTTAGAGGAGGCCCCAGGGCAGTCTGGGTTCAGCTCTAAGCCATGAAGTGGGAGTTCACTACAAGCCTACGCTGCTCACGCCACCCAGGCATTTCTGGGTGTGCCTGCTCAGTGACAACCATCAAGGAAGCAGGGTTTGTAAGGGAAGCTGCCTACTCATACACCCATCAGGGGACGAACCTGCAGAGGCTGAGGTGTCTTTACACCTAACCTCTGGGGTGCTGGCCCAACAATGAGGGGGGACTCTCTCAAAGCCTTCTCGACAGTACCTCACACTGTAGCCTTAGGTGGGACTAACGTTTGGACTGAGTAGTGAGGAATCTTGAGTTGAGATTGCCGTAGGCTCAGGGTCACTCTCACCCCAATGTCGGGTGTTTTCACAAGAAGAGGGCACACAAGGGAAGAGGAGCAGCAGTCGGAATTATGCTGCCACGGACCTGAAAGACTTACAGGCACAAAAATGGGGACGAGATAAGAAGGCTCCTGCTCAGAGCCTGGGACACTGCACACCTCACTCCCAGGTCTGGGGGAGAAGTTGACGCCATGGCCCATAGCCTCTTCCTTTGCTGCACTTGGTTATGGCAGCTGGGGACAGTAACAGAGTGTCTGGCCATTGAACACAGGACATGGAGGCTGAACCATCTCGTCAGGTCACATGTCCGGGCATTAATATACTTGGGCATTCATTCCAGTGTGGTAGGTTTTGTGTCCCGCACTGTACTCTTGAAACAGGTAGAGTGGCGGGTTTTGTGTCCTGTACATTTTAACATTTTTTGTTTGTTTGTTTGTTTATTTTTGAGACAAGATTCCTCTGTGTAACAGCTCTGGCTAACCTGGAACTTGCTTTGTAGACCCGGTTGGCCTTAAACTCACAGAGACCCGCCTGCCTCTGCCTGCCATGTACTGGCATTAAAGGCATGCGCCACCACTGCCTAGCTTAACACTATTTTAAAAAGAAAGTCACAACATTTAAGAGGCGCCCTAAGGACTGGGAGAAGGTGGGATGATTCAGCCTGAGCACCATCCTCTAGGGGTGCAACTGTGGCTGATGTCAGAGTGTCTCAGGGTTGGGGAATGTGGGAGATCGGCTCCAGCTTTACCCAGAAGTTTGCTGAACTGGGGTTCATCTTCTGGCATCATGCTGCAGCCCTTCCTGGGTATAAAAGGGTTCTGGTGGGCAGCTGAGATGTGGAAGGTATAAACAGACCCATATTAGGGAGAAGCTGTGAAGTCAGATGGTACGTCTTCACTGCTGGGCCCAGCTTGGGTCATTCCTTCTGCTATGGCCTTCTTCTCTTCAAGGTGGGTTTAAACCAGCACACACGTACAGGCATGGCTCCAAGAAGTCACATTTCTGCAAAGAGTGACAGGAAAACCTCACTCCATGCCGACGTGTTGACTAATGGAACCACCACATCTCCAGCGGGATCTCTTGTGACGGGCCAGGAAACATCGCAAAAGCCGGTTTCACATTCAGAAGTCAGAAGAGAGTTTGTGTGGTGAGTGAGTGCTGATCCCGTATGTAGATCGCATTTGGTCTATCATGTGGCCTCGATAGGCCATATAGGGCAAGGCAGAGCTGAGCTCAGCTGTTTCAGCAGAGTCTCTGGGATGAGCAAGGCTATGGATAATTACTCATGGAAAGAATGAATGGGGGAATAGACAAACAAATGAAGGCATGGTTCTCACTTAATGAGGCAAGATGCAAATTATAAAAGTATAGGAAAAAAACATGAGACAGGCAGGTCTCAGGATGCCTTATGTGTGCACCAATGTGTGTGCATGAGTAAGTGTGGGCCACTTGTATGCACATGTGATGCGTGTATGCATGAATGTGTATGAATGTGTATATTTGCACACATGATTTGTGTAGTTGCGCATATGTGCCATTTGTGTGTGTGACTGCGAATGTGTAACTATATGTGTGTGTTCCTGTGTGCCTGACCATGACTGTATAATTGTGTGTGCCTGTGCATGAGTGTGTATATCTGTGTGTGTACATACATACTTACCTGTGTGTGACTATGTGTTTAACTGTGTGTGTTTGTGCGTGTGTGTAAGTGTAACTGTGTACATTACATGTGCATGTGCCTGTGCAGAACTTCATGTGTGATTATGTGTGTGGCTGTTGTGCATGAGTGTATGTAACTGTGTATACATGCATGTGCACCCGTGCATGATTGTGTGTGAACATGTATGTGTGCATGGACATAAGTGTGTATGTGTGCACGCATATGTGCCTTGCATGACTGTGTGTATAATTGTGTGTGCCCGGGCATGAGTGTGTGTGTACTTCTTTTGTGTCCTTCAGTGACTGAGAAACCTTCAAAGCCACAGAAAAGGCCTAGGAAGATAAATGTTCTGCAGTGGGGTGTGGGATGTGCAGGTTCTGTGAGGGTGAGTGTGGATGAGGGCATTCCTAACTGGAGCATGGCTGTCCTCTGAGACTTTCCCGTCCCTGCATGACACCCCCATCCAGGGCATATAGAGTAGAAAGCCTCTGTGACCACCACCGTGAACCTGCCCTCTGTAACAAGATGATTCGGTGCTGGGGAAAGGAGATGCTCTGAGAAAGGATCCCTCGTACCTCATCCTGCGTCAGGAGGGAAAGCACTGTGGCCTGTCACTCAGAGGCCACACAAAGCCTCTTTGTTCCCCTCAGCACTGATGGAGAGATAGAATTTATCTTCTCGGCCAAAGACAAGGCAGGGCTCCCAACCCAGGCTGGCCCATTTTTATGTGACCAGAGGGACACTCCTCTCTGGGCCCCTCACACCGGGACATCTCTCCTGCCCCAGAAGAAGTGTTGTCAAGTAGCCAGTGGTTCACCAGGGCCTAACAAGGCAGGTGCTGCATTGTGCCAGGGACTTGGCACAGCCACCAGCAGCCTAGTGGCAAGGAAGAAACTGAAGTAGGAAGGCAGCTGCAGGCCCCCCCCCCGGAGCTAGCTCTCGGTGTCTCTGGATGGGCAGAGGAGTATGTCAGTCAGAACAAGGTCTGACCACTCTGTCGGCGTTAGGGGTGCTGCCAGCCCCTCAGTGCAGCCCCACTGGAGGACCCTGGCACTAGCATGTCTTTCATTATCCCTGCTTGTCCTCTAATCCTGGCCTCAGCCTCCATGGTGGGCTGGAGAAGGTACACCCCCAATAGGAAGGGGGTGCTGGGCTGACTCCAGCACATGGAAGGGGCTATGCTGCCAGTATCGGGGATGAGTCTGAACAGGCCTGGGCAGCCTTCCTCCTGCCCAGCTACAGACTGGCTCCGGAAGGGAGTCTGGGGAGTTACAGACTGCATCGGAACCAAGTGCCTATCCACTCAGCGAAAGTCAACCACGCAGTGGGGAAACTGAGGCTGGTCAAGTCTGTAGACAGGGTAAGGAGGTGCTCTGAGGGCACCGCCGCCTCCTCACCCCTCTCTGGTGGGGTGCAGCCTCAGAGGGAACAGGCTGGTCCCAGGATGCAGGAGACTGGGGTCTCGAAATGCCCTGGGTGGTGGAGGTAATGAAAGGCTGGAGGTGTGGGTGAGTGAGTCCACCCTGGGCCCAGCCTGGAGCCTGGGGCTGCCCGTCTTGGTCTTCACTCTGAGCACACACCTGGACATTCTTGGGTTACCGGCCAACTCTTTCAGTTCTACACCTCACTAGTTTACCCTCCAGGCCTGGAAGCATCAGCAGCGAACCACAAAGGTGCTGTAGCAGCCACTGTATGCTGCAGTCCAGCCAATGCCTGTGGGGAAGCCGGAGGCCTCATAGCGTGGCTAGAGCAGAGAGCTGCAGTAGGACAGGGGCTCCACAGGACCCCCTGCTCAGTCTCAGCCTCCCACCTGCT